TGGAGGAAAAGCTAAAGAGAAGAAGGCTTAGAGAGCCTGTTGTCACAGCCCAAACTTCCCTTCTCCTCCTATGTGAGACCTAGAAAGCTAAAAGTAACAGTAATTTCAACATTGAATGTTCATCGCCTCCTAAATGTGTTAGTTATTTAAAGTTCCAATAATAGCCTTACAAAGAATATACTATTCCTTCTTTATTTTCCATATTATAGATGAGGAACATGAGGCTCAGAGGGGTCAGTTAACTTCCTGAAGTCACATCTGTACACAGCAGAACTAGGTTTTGGCTCTGATCTGTCTACCTTTCGAGCCCTTGCCCTTAAGCTGCATATCCCCAGCGGTCCACATGTCTTAGAGACCAACAATGAAGTTCCAATTGTCCTCTTTCCAAAGAGTGAGGTGTGTGTTTGAAGCAGAAAGAAGTATCTATCTCATCATGGAAAAACGAGACAGCTGAGTTCTGGTGTTTATTCTGCCACTAGCTGGCTGTGTCACAGTCTCTCTACACTTCGAGGTTCTTGTCTGTAAAATGGGTGGATGAGACAAAGTCTATGACCTCAGTCTCTAGATAAGACAATCTCTGAGGTCCCTCAAGTTCCAGGATGCTTGTTTATGATTATGCTGAGATTCTTATTTGGGATAAAAAATAATATACCCTTAGACTCTTGTCTGGAATCCACAAATTTGGCATCTCAGAGAATTGCAGAGCTATAACTCAATATTTGGATCCAGCCTAGGAATCCACACTCTCCTCACAGGTGCAACCTCCCAGGAGGGACCCAGATACAGGGTGTGGACCATTCTACCCAATACCTTCATCCTGGGCAGAGTGATTACACTGTATGAATCTGCTGGGGCTTTACAGCAAAATGTCACAGACTAGGTGGCTTAAACAATAGAAATTTGTTTTCTTACAATTCTAGAGGCTGGAAGTCTAGAAATCAAGGTTTTGGCAAGATTGGTTTCTCCTGAGGACTCTCTCTCTTTGGCTTGTAGATGGCCACCTTCCCCCTGTATCCTACTGTGCTGGTGACCCTGTTCAAGTCCTAATCTCTTCTTATAAGGTTGCCAATCAGATTGGATTAGGGACACTCTAGTGGCCTTTTTTCAACTTAATCACCTCTTTATAGGCCCCATCTCCAAAGACAGTTACACTCTGAGATCCTGGGGTTTACAGCTGCAATATATGAATTCAAGGGAGACATGGTTCAGTCTGTGACAGTTAACTAACCTTACCCATGGAGGAGGAGGAAGATAGGACAAAGACCGGCTTCCATTGGATACTTCTAATATACCAGGCATGGTGACATGCTTTATGTGGAACCTCATTAAATCTTTACCACAGTTCAAAAAGGAGAAATTTTAGAAGATAAGGAATCTGAGTCAGGCAAGTTGCCTAAGTGCTCACAGATAAGAAGTGAGGAGGCTGAGATTCCAACTCACGTTCTTACCTACTGCACTTGAATTGCTACCCAATTCAAGAAGCAGTCTAAGATTTCCTCCAATCTTTCTAGAGAGGAAGCAAGTCTCAGGGTTGGGCTCTTTGGGGCTATTAGTCTGTTCATATAGAGTCCCAAGAGTGCAGAGACGCTCTGATGACAATATCCTGCTACAGTTTTGGGAAGCAGCTGAGAAGGAAAAGCAAAGGGACAGGATCAGCTCCTCCCCATGCTGTGAAGAGACCAGAGTTCCCAGCTGGACACGTAGTGGCCTTGAGCTGGGAGAGGCCAGACATTCCCAAGCAGTTAGAGTTCCAGGGGTGAATGGGAGGGGCCCCCAAGCTAGTTTGGGAGATTGTTCCCCAAGAATAGGGAATGTCCACCAAAGATGGGGCTGGAGACCATTCACCTGGGGAGTGAAGGGCCTGGCAAAAACCCTAGCTAAAGACTCAGGCCTGGAAGTGGGGAGATATGAAGGGGGCACACAGCATCACTAAGAGCTCCTGTAGGGCCTTGGGTTCTTTGAGGAGTATGTGGAGGGGTTTAACCTACTGCATCAAGCCAGGGCTCTTTGGTTCCTCCTTTGGGGTCCAGAAGCCAAGAATACTGGGTATAAGGAAACACCCAGATGAAAATCAATTTCTTTCCTTGCCCTTAAATGGAAGGACAAGGCATGGAAGGTAGAGGTTGCCATGTCAGAGTGTTTTGCTTCCCATCCTCCTGAGGACCCAGTGTCACTCATCCCTGGGCAATTTAGCTACCATTACTGACT